CGAGGGTAAAACCACCTACTCAAGCCTCAGCCATGGCGGACACCCTTCGACACCTAGGTGGCATAGCCTGCTACACCCCTAGGTTCCTTGGTATAGCCTATTTCTCCTAGGCTACAAACCTGTAGAGCATGTTACTATACTGAATACTTTAAGCAATTGTAACACAACGGAAGTATTTGTGTATCTTAAGAAATCTAGGATTTGCTGGCAAGATGGCCGAATAGGAACAGCTCCGATCTGCGGCTCCCAGTAAGACTGATGCAGAAGGTGGGTGAGGTACCCGGTTTATCTCATTGGGACTGGTTGGGCAGTGGGTGCAGCCCACGGAGGGCAAGCTGAAGCAGGGTGGGGCATCACCTCACCCAGGAAGTACAAGGGGTCGGGGGATATCCCCCGCTAGTCAAGGGAAGCTGTGAGGGACTGTACCCTGAGGAACGGTGCACTCAAGCCCAGACATTGTGCTTTTCCCAAGATCTTCACAACCTGTAGACCAGGAGATTCCTTCTGGTGCCTACGCCACCAGGGCCCTGGGTTTCAAGCACAAAACTGGGCAGCCATTTGGGCAGACACCGAGTTAGCTGCTGCAGGAGTTTTTTTTTTTTTTTATACCCCAGTGGCACCTGGAACACCAACGAGACAGAATCGTTCACTCCGCAGGCTGGGAGCGGTGGCTCACGCCTATAATCCCAGCACTTTGGGAGGCCGAGGTGGGCGGATCACGAGGTCAGGAGGTCGAGACCAGCCTGGCCAACATGGTGAAACCCCGTCTCTACTAAAAATGTAAAAATTAGCCGGGCGTGGAGACGCGCACCTGTAATCCCAGCTATTCGGGAGGCTGGGTCAGGAGAATCGCTTGAACCCGGGAGGCAGGGGTTGCAGTGAGCAGAGAGGGCGCCACTGCACTCCAGCCTGGGCCACAGGGCGAGACTCAGTCTCAAAAAAAAAAAAAAAACCAGAATCGTTCACTCCGCTGGAAAGAGGGCTGAAGCCAGAGAGCCAAGTGGTCTGGCTCGGTGGGTCCCACCCCCACAGAGCTCAGCAAGCTAAGATCCACTGGCTTGAAATTCTCACTGCCAGCACAGCAGTCTGAGGTCGACCTGGGAGGCTTGAGCTTGGTAGTGGGAGGGGTGTCCGCCATTGCTGAGGCTTGAGTAGGTGGTTTTACCCTCACAGTGTAAACAAAGCCGCAGGGAAGTTCAAACTGGGCGGAGCCCACCGCAGCTCAGCAAGGTTGCTATGGCCAGATTGCCTATCTAGATTCCTCTCCTCTGGGCAGGGCATCTCTGAAAAAAAAGGCAGCAGCCCCAGTCAGGAACTTATAGATAAAATCCCTGGCCTGCACGGTGGCTCACGCCTGTAATCCCAGCACTTTGGGAGGCCAAGACGGGTGGAGCATTTGAAGTCAGGAGTTTGAGACTAGCCTGACTGAAACCCCATCTCTACTAAAATACAAAGAAAATTAGCCAGGCGTGGTGGCAGATGCCTGTAATCCCAGCTACTTGGGAGGCTGAGGGAGGAGAATTGCTTGAAGCCAGGAGGTGGAGGTTGCAGTAAGCCGAGATTGTGCCATTGCACTCCAGCCTGGGTGACAGAGTGCAATGTCTCAAAAAAAACAAAAAAACAAAAAAACAAAAAAAAACTCCCTGGGACAGAGCACCTGGGGGAAGGGGTGGCTTGGGCACGGCTTCAGCAGACTTAAACATCCCTGCCTGATGGCTCTGAAGAGAACTCCCAGGACAACATTTGAGCTCTGATAAGGGTCAGACTGCCTCCTCAAGTGGGTCCCTGACCCCTATGTATCCTGACTGGGAGACACCTCCCATAGGGACCAACAGACACCTCATGCAGGAGAGCTCTTGCTGGCATCTGATGGATGCCCCTCTGGGACGAAGCTTCCAGAGGAAGGAACAGGCAGCAGTCTTTGCTGTTCTGCAGTCTCCAGGGGTGATATCCAGGAAAACAGGCTCTGGAGTGGACCTCCAGCAAACTCCAGCAGACTTGGAGTAGAGGGGCCTGACAGCTAATAGGAAAACTAACAAACAGAAAGGAATAACATCAACATTAACAAAAAGGACGTCCACTCAGAGACCCCATCCGAAAGTCACCAACATCAGAGACCAAAAGTAGAGAAACCAACGCAAAAGGGCTGAAAAATTCCAAAAACCAGAATGCCTCTTCTCCTCCAAAGGATCACAACTCCTTGCGAGCAAGGGAACAAAACTGGACAGAGAATGAGTTTGACGAATTGACAGAAGTAGGCTTCAGAAGGTGGGTAATAACAAACTCCTCTGAGCTAAAGGAGCATGTTCTAACCCAATGCCAGGAAGCTAAGAACCTTGAAAAGAGGTTAGATGAATTGCTGACCAGAATAATCAGTTTAGAGAAGAACATAAATGACCTCATGGAGCTGAAAAACACAGCACGAGAACTTTGTGAAGCATATGCAAGTATCAATAGCCGAAATGATCAAGAAGAAGAAAGGATAACAGAGATTGAAGATCAACTTAATGAAATAGAGAAGACAAGATTAGAGAAAAAAGAATGAAAAGAAACAAACAAAACCTCCAAGAAATATGGGACTATGGCTGGGCACGGTGGCTCAAGGCTGTAATCCCAGCACTTTGGGAGGCCGAGACAGGCAGATCACGAGGTCAGGAGATCGAGACCATCCTGGCTAACACGGTGAAACCCCATCTCTACTAAAAAGTACAAAAAACTAGCTGGGCGAGGTGGCCAGCACCTGTAGTCCCAGCTACTTGGGAGGCTGAGGCAGGAGAATGGTGTGAACCCGGGAGGCGGAGCTTGCAGTGAGCTGAGATCCGGCCACTGCACTCCAGCCTGGGCGACAGAGCGAGACTCCATCTCAAAAAAAAAAAAAAAAAAAAAAAAAATATGGGACTATGTGAAAAGACCAAATCTACGTTTGATTGGTGTACCTGAAAGTGACAGGGAGAATGGAATCAAGTTGGAAAACACTCTTCAGGATATTATCCAGGAGAACGTCCCCAACCTAGCAAGAGAGGCCAACATTCAAATTCAGGAAATGCAGAGAAAACCACAAAATCAATGTGCAAAAATTACAAGCATTCCTATACAGACAAACAGAGCCAAATCATGAGTGAACTCCCCTTCACAATTGCTACAAAGAGAACAAAATACATAGGAATACAACTTACAAGGGATGTGAAAGACCTCTTCAAGGAGAATAACCACTGCTCAAGGAAATAAGAGAGAACAAAAATAAATGGAAAAACATTCCATGCTCATGGATAGGAAGAATCAATATAGTGAAAATGGCCATACTGCCCAAAGTAATTTATAGATTCAATGCTATTCCCATCAAGCTACCATTGACTTCCTTCACAGAATTGGAAAAAACTACTTTAAATTTCCTATGGAACCCAAAAAGAGCCCGCATAGCCAAGACCTTCCTAAGCCAAAAGAACAAAGCTGGAGGCATCACGCTACCTGACTTCAAACTATATTACAAGGCTACAGTGACCAAAACAGTATGGTACTGGTACCAAAATAGAGATATGGACCAAATGGAACAGAACAGAGCCCTCAGAAATAATACCACACATCTACAACCATCTGATCTTTGACAAACCTGAAAAAATAAGAAATGGGGAAAGGATCCCCTATTTAACAAACGGTGCTGGGAAAACTGGCTAGCCATATATAGAAAGCTGAAACTGGATCCCTTCCTTACACCTTATACAAAAATTAACTCAAGATGGATTAAAGACTTAAATGTTGGACCTAAAACTATAAAAAACCTAGATGAAAACTTAGCAATACCATTCAGGACATAGGCACGGGCAAGGACTTCGTGTCTAAAACACCAAAAGCAATGGCAACAAAAGCCAAAATTGACAAATGGGATCTAATTAAACTAAAGGGCTTCTGCACAACAAAAGAAACTATCATCAGAGTGAACAGGCAACCTACAGAATAGGAGAAAATGTTTGCAATCTATCCACCTGACAAAGGGCTAATATCCAGAATCTACAAAGAACTTAAACAAATTTACAAGAAAAAAACAACGAGAACACATGGACACAGTGAGGGGAACATCACACACTGGGGTCTGTTAGGGGGTGGGGAGCTAGGGGAGGGATAGCATTAGGAGAAATACCTAATGTAGATGACGGGTTGATGGATGCAGCAAACCACCCTGACAAGTGTATACCTGCGTAACAAACCTGCACGTTCTGCATATGTACCCCAGAACTTAAAGTATAATAAAAATTAAAAAAAGAAATCTAAACATAGAAAAGGTACAGTAAAAATATGGTATAGTCGATTTTAAAAGGTATACCTGTAGAGTGTGTACTTCATGAATGGAGCTTGAAGGACTTGATGTTGCTCTGAGTGGGTCAGTGAGTGAGTGGTGAGCAAATGTGACGGCCTAAGACATTACCGTACACTACTGTAGACTTTATCAACACTGTTCACTTAGGCTGCACTAAATTTATGCAAAAATATTTTTCTTTCTTCAATAATAAATTAACCTTAGCTTACTGTAAAAAAAAAAAAAATGTGAAAAGGTAATATTTATGTGTTCTGTGTTCAGGAAACCAGGAGGAATGGATTTTGCTGAAACTGGAATACATGGGTAGATAAGGCTAGAGAGATAGGCAGGAGCCAAGCCAACAATACCAGGCTACCACCAATTGCTGGGGTAGGCAAGAGCAGGCATCATCCTGGGTGTTTGGAGCTTCTTTTCATGTTCCCTAAGTTGGGGTGTGTTGGGGGGGATGATACAGGGAGAAATTCTGATTAAGACTTACATCTATTCCTTTGCCTTCTTTTCAAGAAGTCATACTTAATGTCCGTCCCTCCTGGACAGGGTCTGTTCTGTCTGCTGCTAAGCTCCTTTCTTATCTCTCTCACCTACTGAACATATACTGTGTTCTGGGAGCTTTGAATGCATCATCTTGTTTATCCTCATGAGATGGTCTAATAATGAAGAAAGCATGTTTTGGCATTCAACTCACCTGGGTGTGAGTCCCAGGTCTGCCTTTTACTAGCTGGATGTCTTTGAGCAGCTCAGTTCACTGTTCTGTGCTTCTGTGTCCTCATCTGCAAAATGGGAATGATGGCTATTTCTTCAGATTGCCCTCCCTCCCTTTTTTTCTCTCCCTCCCTCCCTTCCTTCCTTCCTCCCTCCCTCCTTCCCCCCTCCTTCTCTCCTTTCTTCTTTCTCTTTCTTTCTTTCTCTTTCTCTCTTTCTTTTTCTTCTTTCCTTCTTTCTTTTTTCTCCTTCCTTCCCTCCTTCCTTCCTTCCTTCCTTTCTTCCTTCCTTCCTCTCTCTCTCTCTGTCTGTCTTTCAACAGGGTCTTGCTATATTACCCAGGCTGGTCTCAAACTCCTGGACTCAGGCAATCCTCCCAGCTTGGCCTCCCAAAGTGCTAGGATTACAGGCCTGAGCACCTGGCCCGGACTTTCTTCAGACTTTTCACAGGGTACTAGTGAGAAAAAAATACATGGACTCTGCTTACTTAATACTGTGACTGGCACATTACAAGCTCTTCGCACACGTTATTGCTATTATTCCACATCCTAAGGGGGAAGTGCCTTTGAAGGGTCCACGCTCTTTTGTTACCCAAATTGGGCCAGGTTGCTTAAACTGCCGTTCTCCAGTAGCTAAAAACGGGTGGGAGAGCCTGGTCCTCTGAAGTCCAGCTGGGCACACAGCCAGTCCCTGGCCCGTCCCTGCTCCTGCTGCCCTGGCAAGGCCTCCCTTACCCACTGGGGCTACACCAGCACTGGCCCCGGCTCAGCTTCCTGTCTCCCTTATCTTCCTCCAGCATGTGCTGTCTGGAGTAGGAAACACTACCGCTTGCTTCCCTCATTTCCCTTTGCTCAACAGGACCCTCATTTTTTAGGTCTCAGTCAAATCCCAGCTGCTGGCCTGGTGCCCACTCTGTGATTTTCTACACCTCAGCCACCCAGCCCAGATGCAGTGTAGGCCCTGGCTCCAATAGCAGCATTTCTCTTTTCTTCCCCACCCCCATCCCTGGGTTTAGAATGAGAAAATGCTCTCCCAACACTCTTATTTTCTCTGTTCCCCAGGGCCTCCATACTTCCATCCTTTTTTTTTTTTGAGACAGAGTCTTGCTCTGTTGCTCAGGCTAGAGTGCAGTGGCAGGATCTTAGCTCACTGCAAGCTCCGCCTCCCAGGTTCAAGTGATTCTCCCACCTCAACCTCCTGAATAGCTGGGATTACAGGTGCACCACCATGCCCAGCTAATTTTTGTATTTTTAGTAGTTTTTACCATGTTGCCCAGGCTGATCTCAAACTCCTGACCTCAGGTGATCCATCCACCTTGGCCTCCCAGAGTGCTGGGATTACAGGCATGCCCAGCCCCATACTTTCTGAGTTCAAATCCTCACTCTGCACTTCCAAGCTGTGTGACCTTGGGCTACTTACTTAACTATTTTTCTGGGCTTTAATTTTTTCTTTTTCTTTTTTTTTTTTTTGTACAGAGGAAGCAGAGAAGGTTTCATCAGGTTATCCAGGTTAGTCTCAAACTCCTGGGCTCAAGGGATCCTTCTGCCTGGGCCTCCCAAAATGCTGGGATTACAGGCATGAGCCGCCATGCCCAGTTTTTTTGGTGGTTGTTTTGTTTTGTTTGAGACAGGGTCTCTTTCTGTCACCCAGGCTGGGGTGCAGAGGCACAGACATAGCTCACTGTAGCCTTGACCTTTTGACATCCTGGGCTCAAGCCATACTCCTGCCTCAGCGTCCCGAGTAGATAGGATCACAGGTGTGTACCACCATGCCTGGATAATTAATAAAAAAATTTTTTTGTAGAGATGGAGTCTCATATGTTGCCATGCTGGTTACTGATTTACAGGCATGAGCCACTACACCCAACCAGCTTTATTTAATTTTATTTTATTTTATTTTGTCTGTAACATGGAAACAATGAGCATGGTCTGTTTCAGAGAAAGTGATTAAAGGCCTAGCACATAGTATGAATTTTAAGAATGTTTTATAACATATATATTAAACATTCAAGCATGTTGGAGGTATGTGTTCAAAAATGTATTGATGAAGAGTGCTCAAAATAATTTTTGAGACACTGTGGGGGGGGGTTAAATTCACAAACTTTGGCACCAGAGAGAGAGAAAGTTTCAAATTATAGCTTTTGCTGTGTGACCTTAGGTAAGTCACTTAACCTCTCTGAGCCTCAGTTTCTTTATTAGTAAAATGGTGATGCTAGTGAAACCCATTTTATAGGGCTAGCATAAGAATAAATTAAGATTATTTATGTAAAGAGCTGAATACTGTTCCTGGCCTGAAATAAGTGTTACCTATAATAATGGTATCATTGTCTCACTGTTCAATTTTCAGGGCTCTAGGATATGAGAGGGGTGCTTGGGAAATAGCTATTGCTGCTGCCATTTGTCCATGATGGATCTTAACCTGATTAGAAAGGCCTCGATGTGGCTGGCCCCCTGGGATTACAAATCCCAGCACTTTGGAAGGCCCAGGCGGATGGATTACTTGAGGTCAGGAATTCGAGACCAGCCTGGCCAACATGATGAAACCCTATCACTACTAAAAATGCAAAAATTAGCCAGGCGTGGTGGCACCCACCTGTAAATCCCAGCTACTTGGGAGGCTGAGGCAGGAGAATTGCTTGAATCCAGGAGGCGGAGGTTGCACACTGCAGAGATCATACCGTTGCACTCCTGCTTGGGCAACAGAGCAAGACTCCATCTCAAAAAACAAAAAAGAAAGAAAGAAAGAAAAGGAAAGAAAGCCCTTGATGTTATGAGCGCCGTATAAGATAATGTGGGTGAAAGTGAACCCAGACCCTACCCACTTAGATCGAAGGCTCACAGCATTCAATTCCAGATTGGTTCAATCATATGCTCTCTTACCCTCTCTTACCCATCCCAAAGTACCCTTCAAGCCTTCAAGGGAGAAAAAAGTCAAAGCAAAAATATGCACAACCTCGCTAAGAGTCAGATAAATGCAAACTAAAACCAAAGAGAAATGCCATTTTACACCCAACCATCTGATAATGCCAAGAGCTGGCAAGGATGTGAAGTGAGGGAATTCTCATACGCTGCTGGGAATGTAAATTGGCACAACCTTTTTGTAAAACAGTTTGGCAATATCTAGTAAAACTGAAGATGCATATACCTTATTACTCAGAAATTCCACTCTTAAGTTTGCACCTACAAAAACTCCCACATATGCACAAGGACTCGTGTATGAGAATGTTCATACCAGCACTGTTTGTAATAGCAAAAAACTGGAAAAAAACTTAAATGTTCAGCAACAAGAGAATGGATACATAAATAATAATCTATTCCCAAAATTTATTTATTTTTTTTTGAGACAGGGTCTCACTCTGTTGCCCAGACTGGAGTGCAGTGGCATGATTATGGCTCACTGCAGTCTCAACCTCCCGGGCTCAAGCAATCCTCCTACCTCAGCCTCCTGAGTAGCTGGGACCATAGTCACACCCCACCACGCCCAGCTAATTTTATTTTATTTTTGTAGAGATGGGGGTTTCACTATGTTGCCCAGGCTGGTCTTGAACTCCTGGGCTCAAGTGATCCACCCACCTTGGCCTCCCAAAGTGCTGGGATTATACCTCCCCAGCTGGAATATTTTAAAGCAGTGAAAATGAATGGTCTACACATAGCCACATGAATGAATCTTATTAATATATTAAGTGAAAAAAGCAAAATGTACAGAGGAATACATACATTTTAATACCATTTATATAAAGCTCAAAATATATGAAATACCACTATCTATTGTTTAGGGATATATACATAAGTAGTGTAAGTATATGGAAATATAAGGAAATGAAAAATATCAAATCTTCATTTTCATTTGAAGTGGTTACTTCAGGGGCTGTGGCAGGGAGAGAGAGATGCAACTGAGGAAGAGTCCATAGGGGGCTTCAACTATATTAGTAATATTGTATTTCTTATGCTGGGTGGTGGGGATAGGTATGTTTGAAATGTAATCCTTTAAGCGTGAAATAACTCTTCAGAAATGAAATATTTCAGGCTGTGCACAATGACTCACGCTTGTAATCCCAGCACTTTGGGAGGCTGAAGTGAGTGGATCACCTGAGGTCAGGAGTTTGAGACCAACCAGGCCAACATGGTGAAACCCCATCTCTACTAAAAATACAAAAATTAGCCAGGTGTGGTGGCAGGTGCCTGCAATGCCAGCAACTCGGGAGGCTGAGGCAGGAGAATCACTTGAATCTGGGAGGCGGAGGCTGCAATGCGCCGAAATCACGCCACTGCACTATAGCCTGGGAGACAGAGCAACACTCCATCTCAAAAAAAAAAAAAAGAAAAGAAAAGAAAAACAAAAAAGAAATGTTTCATAATTTTTAATAAAAGTCAAGACAATATAAATTGGTAGTGATTTAAGTCATTCTACTTTTCCTGAGGCCCAGTGCAGGAAAACAAAGTTCCTATCCCTCTTCCAACTAGACTATTTTGATAAGCTGCAAAAAGAAAAGACTTTGATGCTATTTCTTAGCCAGTTTGCAAGAGCTGAAAGGTGAGCATGGAAGCTCTTGCATATATTCAGTTCAGAGAATGGGTGCCTAGTTTACGTCCAGCCTTTGTTCCAGATTTCACTATGACGTCAACTTTCCAGGGAGAAGTATATAAAATAAAAAGTTTAAATCCCCCTCAGTCCTTTACCCAATCCCATTCCCCAGAGGTAATCTCTATTGACAGTACCCCTTCGGACATTTTCCCTATGTATATACAAATACACAAATACACACAGAAAGTTAATTTTGGCCAGGTGCAGTGGCTCCTGCCTATACCAGAGGATCGCTCGAGTGCAGAAGTTCAAGACCAGCCTGGGCAACATAGCGAGACCTTGTCTCTAGTAAAAATCAAAAAAATTAGCTGGGTGTGGTGGCACAGTGGCACGTACCTGTAGTCTCAGCTACTCAGGTGGTTGAGGTGGGAGAATCACTTGAGCCTGGGAGGTCAAGGCTGCAATGAGCTGTGATTGCTTCACTGCACTACAGCCTGGGTGACAGAGCAAGACTGTGTCTCAAAAAAATAATAATTACATATAT